ATTCCCGCGACATGTCAAACTGTAAAACTTTCGAGGCAGACGGGTTGATCCTCGGGTGTTGAGTGAGGCTGAGTCGAGGCAGTCCTTGGAAGAGGCGAGATTCAAGTACGGACAACCTTGATCGGCTCGGTGATTGGATCACTGATGTAGGACGGCATTCGGCCGAGTAATTTACACACTCTGCAGCCAAGATTGAACTTGAACAAAAGCCAACAGGACCCCTTCTGCGCCACAATCGCACATCGGCATTGATTTTATGTTCCGCCGAGCAGCATCGAGCCACTTCAATGCTGCCTGCCTGCCTGGTCCCTGATGGAAACCCGGCTACCCGGATTACCCGGTGTTCGAACGAGAGCCTCCGTCTGTGGTAGCACCGAGACTCAATTGCAGGATCAAACCTTTCAAACGTCAACAGCCAGGATACCAAGGAAAAAAAATTGTAAAACGAAACATGAAGGATCTCCTGTCAAATTCTGACATGAACAGCCTCCAGTCTTACAAAGGCGTAGTAAGCAACCTATTAACAAAAGAACCGTGGAGCTGCAGCAGGAAAGTTATGGGGCAAGGCTCACTCGCATAAAGCTGGAATGGGCAAAAATCGGGGCGCGACCAAGGTCGTCCGTGTCGCGCATGAACCGTCGCCGCGGCCTGCCTCGATCATTTCCCGGGTTTCCGCCAAGCCGCCCCAATCCATCCAGGCAGAGACCAAGTTGAGACTGGGAGCTGAGAGCAGAGCATAGTCCGAGGGGCAAGACCGCCTGACTGCTTCGACAAATCACTGCTCTGCCTCTACCAGTCAAGGTCATAACATGACAACGGTATGCCTGTGACGGCAATGGAGGCTGGAAAGACGGCAGCATGTGAGGTTTGATTCGACAAGAGCGAATCTGGTGTCTAGCCCGTGTCCTGCCCCAATCCAAGACATCTTTATTGGCTCGAGATTCAAGAAACGCCCAAAGCGCACAGAACCGAAAGAAGATTGCGAAACAGAGTCCTATTCCAGAAAGCCAGCTCTCCAGTTCAGCCCAAACCGCCGGAACTAATGGCTTTGGTCATATCGCTACAGCACGCTGCACCTCCCACGATGTCGGCCCCCAATATCACCTCCCCAAGCCGGCACGGAACCCAGGTCTGCCGCCGCGTGGCTGGCCCTAGGGCCGGGGCTTCGGTGCCCTGGCTCCGTCGTCGCGCGCCCCCCCTTTGCGCCCCCTTGGAACTCACAGACGTTGCCCGGCCGGAACCCCGGTCCCGGTGAGATGTGGAAGCAGGGATTGGGTACGATGAGAATAAGCACAGGAGAAAAGGGAGGAGCATAATCCACAGCGCAGCCCGCTGTGTCATACGAGAAGAAGGAAGGAGGAGAATGGAAGCTGAAAGAGAGAAGCCAACTCCACAACACCGGCGCGCCGGCGGAGGAACTACGGGCTGTTGCAAGTCCCGTGAATTCGTCGGCGGGCGTGCGACGGTGATGGCGGCGCCTCCGCTAGAAGAGCACTAGAAGAGAGGGGAAATACGCGGCATTGTAGCTAGCTCACGCCTCTCATCTCGCAACCGTCTCTCTAAATCCTGTTAGCTCTGGCTAGTTTCTTCACAACGGCCGCGCCTCCGTCGTCATTCTAAGGGAAGAAGACAAAAAATGTCAACCGACCATTGGATCTCGCGGACGCGCAACTGTTTAGAAAGCCGATGAAGACAAAAGCTGACAGCTGACGGGAAAAAGCAAAACTTGGCACAGGAATCTTACGCACCTCCACCTGTTCCCCACGCGCAAAACCCTCAGGAAGCAGGACTAAGATCCTCCTTGGTCTAGATACGATGAACCACCCCAGACGCCAGAAGATCCGGAAACACGATTTCCTTCTCTGATCAATTATTGTGACACCGTGAGAGGGGCGAACCCCTACTTCAAGGAAGAACACCACCCCCCAGAGAGCGAGGAGACTGGAGTCGGGGACTTTGCCCTCAGGCCATTACCCATCCGCTGCGTAGCATTCGAGAATCCAATAAAGATGGGAATACCCATAACCCAAGCCCGCGAGCGAGGTCGAGATCCGCTCTGAGACTGAGAAACCCCTGGATTCCCAATGCGAATAATCCGATAGAGTTCGGTCTTTGGGCCGAAGACAGGGCAGACTGCCGAAGGATTCGGCCGGTTGCCAATATGTGATGAATATTCATGTCCGAGGCATGGCCCCTTCACCGAGAGATGAGGACCTGCTGCCCTGAGTTGAGGACGTTCGCCCGCACGCAGGCATACGCAGCTCGACGCAACGCAACGCAATGCACGCCACACAGAGAGTTGCCCTCGAAAGAGGCAACTCGATCACCGATTTCCCCAGTTTTGCCCCATCACGAGTCATAAATTCGGCGATAGGGCCGAAATCTTGCGTCGCGCCGCACCTCATTTATCCCCCGTCCCAACAAGTTCCCGAAGCTGATCGCATTTTCAGTCGCAAGTCTGATCCTGCAGCAGAGACCAGACAGAAACCAGAACAACAACACAGAGAAAAAGGGCGCGAGCCACCAATAGCGTCACGAACCGGTCAGACCCTCTGCTCGTCTCTTTTTGCTCACAGTGAACCTTGCCAACCCGCCGCTGGCTTTGATTCTCCATCTTGTTCTCCACACACTCACAGCGTGCCGGATGTGCCACCAGGATAGGGATAGCACCGGCCAACTGCGACGCCATCCTCGCCCGGGCTAACGTCCCAAGGGGGTAGCAGATTGAAAGACGCACCAAAGACCGGGGGCGCGCGGCGAGCAGTGGCGCCCCTTCAGGCTTCCAATTGCTGGCTGCGTTGCGTCGGGGGCGGTTTTCCAGAGCCCTTCGATGCCGTTTCTAAAGCCGTCACACAAAACTCTGGCAGTTCTTCGGACGTTTCTTATTCCCATACAACTGCTGCACGTCCGTCCCTTTCATTAGCCCTTGGCGTTGCGCGGCGCAGTATGCGGCCACGTTTTTGTCTCTTTCTTTGGTTCGTTCTTCTCGTGCTTTGAAGACGGGAGGCTTGCAGCCCGTCATCTTTGCCGAGGGATTTCAGTAAATCGTTGGTGCCGCGTTTCTTCAGCTTTGCCTCAGCTCTGCAGTGCCGGATCTGGGCCGCACCTCTCTCGGCCAGTTTCCGCGTCCAGAAAGAAGCTTTTCTCCCTGCGCTGCTGCTGCTGCTGCGCCGTACGTTGTCTTTTCTTGGGTTTCTTATGAACTAGTATTTCCTAAAACCGAGACAACGACACTTCATCGGTCCTTTCGGAGTTTCTCTGCTGCCCCGCGTAGAATGGTTGACAAGACGGGCCCGCTTCTCAGCCAGACAGCCAGGCAAGAAAAAAACGAGTCCAGACTATGGCATCGTAGTGCCGACGGGATGCTGGCCCCTGCATGAGAGATGCGCTGCACAACGAACCACGAGAGCTGTAGCAAGCTGGCCGCCCCTCTCTCCTCCATCGATGAATTCAAGGAGATATTCTCTCCCCCCTGGCAAGCCGTTGATCCCTGCGTGCGCACGATCACCCACCCGGCCCCTACCTGGCCCTGGCACTGCCCTGGCTGTGGTCTTCCGGCGTGCCTGGGCCGCCGTCTCCTCCTGGAGTTTCTTCTTTTCCTTCCTGAAGATACCTGTATGTGTGTTATATGTGGGTGGGTGGCACAGATGGTGGGCTCTTTCCTCCATGTTCAATCAATCTCGAGGGGCGCCCTTGAGGCCCTTGGTCCCTTACCCGACCATGGACGGACGATAGACCAGTCGCGGCCTCGGTCCGCTGCTATCCCACGTTGACGGGGAGCCTTCTGCATGTCAGTGTATCACAGTCTCACTCTCCATGGAGCAGCCTTCGCCTGCCACATGTGGTTGCCGTCCTGGGTGCCTTGTTGCCACGCCCGAGGCTAGGAGCCAGGGTCCTGCTTCTTGTCTAGCCATGCTGGTCGAACGTCCCTCGGTTACGAGAACCGCAACCGTCCTCAACCACCGCCACCATTGTCTGGCGTACCAGATTCCCGCCTACAGTGTGTGCATGTCTCAACACGAATAGCTTCTAGAGGGGGGAAGGGGGCCCGGTGCCGTTGCCAGACCACGGCCGTCATACGACGGTGATGTGTAACGGCGACCACCGTGTATCGACTAGACCGGCCACGCTACCAACACACTGGTCTTCTGTGGCGTCGACCCAAGTGGACCGAACCTGCAGACGTCCTTCCTGCATCCCGGTTCTGCATCCAGCATCATCTCCGTGTTGGCATGTCGCTAGACGACTCGTCCCAAGTGGCCTTTCTTGTTGACTAAGACAGAGCCCGAAGAGCGTTTCACGACAACCTTAATCCCTTCCGTCCCCCCCTTCTTTAGTCTGGTGTAGGGAGGAAAAAACACTTTGACGCCTCCATCACGACAGAGACGAACCGATTCAGACGCTACGCCATGGTCGACGGGATAGATATCTAGCGCCTCAAGACGACCGTTCCTCCCGTCCCCTCCCGTCCCCGAACCCTTCTGGAAAGAGGGAGGCCTTCTCCTCGTCCCTTCACCAACCCAACGATACCCCGCCATGAGGTTCTCCTTGCTGTTCCTGTCACCGGCCGCCCTGCTGTGCTGCGTCGCGGCCCAAAGCGATGCCCTTGCGGCCGTGGCTGCATTGCCGACCTGTGCGGTATGTAAATCTCGAACCTCGCATACGGCATGCCCAGGGAAGACTCGTGAGACTAACGGGAAGAACAGCAATCATGCCTCGTCACGGCGGTCCTGAACTCGCCATGCCAGGTCACCAACCAGACGTGTATCTGCACCAACGCTCCTTTGCAGGCCGAAGTTGAAGTTTGTGTATTGGCCAACTGCACGCTCCGCAACGCACTCAGTCAGTAAACTTCCGGGAACTTGAAGTCAAAAAACACCAGCAAGCTCGAACAACCGTCGGCTAACCTTGCCCTCGCAGCGACCAAGAACCTCACCCAGACAACATGCGGCGCGCCAGTTCGAGACCGCTCCACCCAGTACAACATCATCTCCATCACGATGGGGTCCCTCTCCGGCGTCTTCGTCATCATCCGCCTGGTCCACAAGATCTTCGCGACTATGGGAGACCTCGGCGTCGACGACTACTTCATCCTCATCACCCTCGGCTCAGGAATCCCCGGCACCGTCATCAACTCGGTGGGCTTCGTAGGGAATGGACTCGGTCGGGACATCTGGACGGTTCCGTTCGACAGGATTACCGACTTCGGGTACTGGTTCTTCGTCATGGAGCCCATGTATTTCGCCCAAGTGACGCTGCTGAAGATGTCGCTCCTCTTCTTCTACATGCGCATCTTCTCTCACAACAATATGTGCAAGAAGCTCATCTGGGGAACAGTCGCGTTCAACGCCGTCTTCGGATTGACCTTCATCTTCGTCGCCGTCTTCCAATGCACGCCGATCAGCTTCTACTGGACCAAATGGGATGGAGAGACCCCGGGAACGTGCTTGGATATCAACGCCATTGCGTGGGCCAACGCCGGCATCTCGATCGTGCTGGATTTCTGGATGCTTGCGCTCCCCCTCTCCCAGATCAAGAGTCTCAACCTGCACTGGAAGAAGAAGATTGGAGTCGCCATGATGTTCTTCGTCGGTACCTTGTAAGTCCATCCCTCTCTCAAAACGTCTCAGTTACGTGGGCACGTGTGCTGATACACGTCACAGCGTCACCGTCGTCAGCATCCTGCGCCTGCAGTCCCTCGTCGCCTTCGCCAAGTCTCAGAACCCGACATGGGACCAGTTCGAAGTCGCGACGTGGTCCACAGTCGAGATCAACACGGGCATCATCTGTGCCTGTATGCCCTCGGTCCGCATCATCCTCGTCGGCTTCTTCCCCAAGCTGCTCGGCACCACGCGGCGCGGCACCTCGGCCGCCGCAAAGTACTACATCCAATCGAGCGGCAACCATGGCGGCACCACCGGACGCAGCAGGGCCCGCACCTTCGGCAACGAGGCCAAGATCAAGACGGTCGACCGCGAGTCCGGGCTCTCCAGCCCCAACGGCATCATGTACACCAAGGAGTACACCGTCGACTACCACGACGAAACTAGCCTAGTGCACATGCGGGAGCTAGAGGCATCGAGTTCGAAGACGGGGAGGAGCGGGTCGCCGTTTTGACGGATTGTTTTCCTTTGTTAGCGGGTTTATGGGCGTCGGCCTCCTTTGCAATTGACGACACGTATGACACTTGTAATTCTTTTTGACGGATACCACAATAGCGCGTGAGGGAACCACGGTACCCCACGGTAATTGACTTTCTAATCGATCCAAAGAGCGACTAGTCCCTTGCTGCTATGCTAGATCGGCGTGCATAGTTGATACGAACGGCGATGGTGCCCTTCAGGTTCACAGGCGGCCTGATGATCGTGATGCTTCACTTCCAGCCTCTAGCTGCCAACTGCTGTGTTGGGCATGGCCCGCTCGGACCCCTTTCTTGTCGTGTGATCGGTAACAAGAGCGTCAGCAACATCCCATGCAAGAGAGCTGCATCGGAAATAAGACTGAGACGGGTAATGGTGGCTCCTTGGCCGACTTGGAGCGCAAGATCTAGACCAACGACTCGGTTGTGGCGCATATTCGTACAGAGAAGGAGGATGCACCCGTTGAAACAAACTTGGTGGATCTTCCTCTGAGGTCGCATCGGCGCGGTGTGCGAATAGGTGTTGTTGCTGTTGCTGTCCAGCCTCTCTCTGGTGACATCGCCCGCCCACCCTGGAGAACACCCTGACGCTGGCCTGCGATTCCCATTCAGCCGGTTAGAGCCCTTCAGGGACAGCGCGGGCCGTTCAGCAGGTGTCCAACCGCTGCTGATCTTTTGAAGGGAGAACAATGGAGTCAGCGTCTTTTGCTTCTTCGCTTCCATCCCTGGATACGACCGTCAAGCGACTGTTACCGTGCCTATTGGCATGATGCAACAAGGCGATGGCAGCCGGTCGGGTATACAAGCCACACAGAATGCGCCATCGCGAGAGGGAGCCGATGCGACCAGCGCAGCCAGGGGGTATTCTTCAGAAGACGGCGATCCGGCAGCCGCTGGCCTAGGGCGACAAGAAGCGATTGAGAAGGTCCTGGCGGGCGGAAAGGGCATGGCAGCTCTGCCCGGATCTGCATTGACGTGTGTCGGAGGGTGGTACTCAACAGTTGCCGACGTAGGACGTCGTCAACTCTATGGAACCCCCCCGTTCGGAGCTATTGATGGACATGGTGGGTAAGAGAGGCAGATGTCTCGGCGGTCCATGGCTGATCGACGGCAAGGTCCAGGTATGCTGTGCTGAAGGTTCGCTCTTTCAGACGATTCGTGCCGTCTCTCCGACCGAAGAGTCTCCGAAACTGCTCGCCGCTGCGCGCCGCAGTCGCCGTTGTTCGGTCTGCCGAGCGCTCGGGGGTCGATCGGCGGATATGCCATGATAGTCTTCCTCATTCCATTGTGGCGCGTCTTCGAGTCAGGTATTCCGAGCCGCGGAAGCCTCGGTAGGGGACACACACGTGGGGAGGTGTTGGCGATCAAAGGGGGATGTTATTTTCGATCTTTTTCCGAAGAAGATGGGGACAGGTGAAGATCATGGCAGAGATTGGGTTGGCGTCTTTCTGGGAATATGCAGGGATGGCACCGTGCATGTTCAATGGCCGGGCAGTTCTTCGCCAGCTAGACAGGGGCTTACAGGCACTTTGACACAGTCTCTCACACCGTATTTTCCTGAAGTAAGTACGGCGTATTGAGTCTTGGGCGTTTGATGATGAGTTGCGCCCTTGACAGCCATGCTTTTGTCAGATGGAGGTCATGATACAAGACATTCCCAGGCTTTGGAAATAACCCAAAATAAGATACACTTGCGCCATGTCTACACTTCTTTTTTCATGATACAACAACTGCCCATCACGAACGTGGTGAATGAGCACGTTCACCCGTTGCTAGTTCCAACCTACCTAACTAGCGGCGCCAACTTCGGGCAATCCATCTACCGACGCCATACGACCAGGCCTCAACGGACGGACGCCGAGATCTAAGAGCGGAATATAGCCGATGGGTATTTCCTGGGTTACATCATTAAGACCGCTTTGACCTTCAGTACTCCATGATCGTCGTAGCCTAAGTGCGGACATACCGTCACATTCTCATCCGCGAAGGGATGATGATACTCAATGTGAATGATTCTACCTTAGGTAGTAAGAAACACGACCATATTTGGTAGCTTACACTAAGTGCCACATGGCGAGGATAAGCTATTGGTCTGGTGTTCCAGCATGTCGATTCATAGTAGAAATTACATCTCCTTCAGTCACATATGCACCAATCAGCTAGACCTACGAGACTGCAACACTACTCTTATCCCATGTTCAAGCCCATGGGACGAGTTGCAATCGCGTGTGTAGAATAGACTATGCAAGCTCCCTGTAGCGTGGAAATCTCCCTAACAAACGCATTACCTGACTCCGCGCGATTGATGTTGATCTTGATATCAGCTTGACCTAACTATTAAGGCCTCAACTAAGCCTGTACGATGGCTAGGGGTCTGGTTCGATAGGAAACTCACCTTCCGGCACCATGTTGATACAAAGGTAGCAGCAGCAAAGAAGGCAGCCCAGTTCCTGCGGCACCTATCAAAC